GAGCCACAAAAAAATGAGATTTAAAATATGATTTCATTTGGTTCAATTAAATAACTTTTAGGATTTAGTATAAAAATGGTCCTCCAATTATAAGTTATTATCATTTTAAGTCCCTTGATTATTAAAAGTTATAAAATGATCCTTCGACTATAGAATACTACTTTGTTATGTCTCCTAATTATTAAAAGTTACAAAACGATCACACGCTTATTTATTATATTTCAAACTCCTTTTTTTCCGTTAAAGTTTGGCGGTTGTCTAAGTTGAACGTTAAGATGATAGTCATTTGAGATATAATAGTTGTTTGAGACTATGAGATAAGATTTTGTCATATCACAGTCAACATGTTAACGTTCAACTCAGAATACTGTCATTTTTTTAACGAAAAATGATGGGTTTAGAACATAATGAATAGTTGGGTGACCATTTCGTAACTTTTAATAGTCGATGGACTCAACAAAACAATACTCTATATAATCAGAAGATTATTTTGTCACTTTTAATAGTCAATAGACTTAACAAAGTAGTACCCTATAATTGGGGGACATTTCTGTACTTCACTCTTATTTTTAATATTGTATTCAATTTTAATTTGAGTTTTAAGAATAGTACTGTTATTGATATAAGAAAAATATTCGACTGAGTTGAGTTGAATATAATACAAAAAAATTAAGTTAATTAAGTTGACGAATATTATCTCATCATCAAATTTTTTTTAGTAAGTCAAATAGGCTATATTATATTTATTTGAGTTTTTATTTAAATTTAATTATAATTACTTATTATATTAGAAATAATTGACTTCAATTCATGTGAATCCCTATAATCATATATATTATTTTTAATACAATATAAATAAAACTCAGTATAACATTATTCTATAAATTAAATAGTGGTATTATCTAAAATTAAATAATATAAATTTTTGACTCAAACAATTTTAATAATTAAAAATTAAAAAATAAACATTTTTTTCAAATCAAACCTAACTTACCAGTAACACAATGGGCATCAGCAAAGAGTGAGGTAGGCATAACACGAGGATCATGTGGTGTAATTAAGGCACCCACGATTGCATTCATACATACATACATATATACATACATACATACATGTGTGTGTATACACACACTGGTACTTTAGTATTTCATCTGAGCAAGAAAAACAGTGAGAGAGAAGGAAGGAAAATGAGCTTGGTGAAAATGTACAAGTTGTTCTTGCATTGGCTGGTGAAGCTCGTAGGGTTAAGCCCTAGGAAGGTGGAGATCTAGCCCGGCACCGTCGTCAACGTCTGGTGCCCGACCGGAGCCGCTAAAAAGCCCGCCCTAGTCTTCATCCATGGCCTCGGCTTCGCCAGTACGCTAACGTGGCAGTTCCAAGTATTCGCTTTTGCCGGAGATTACTCGGTTTACTTGCCGGATTTAGTCTTCTTCGGCGATTCCGTCAGCGACAGGACGGAGAGTTCGCCGGCTTTTCAAGCGGAGTGCATGGCCAAAGCACTGAGAAAGCTGGGTGTCGACAAGTGTACGGTGGTGGGTTTGAGCTATGGAGGGATCGTAAGTTTCAAGATGGCCGAGTTGTACCCAGAGTTGGTCGAGTACTTGGTGGTGAGCGGCTCGGTTACGGCGGTGACTCAGTCGTTCGGCGACGCCGGACTCGAGCGACTCGGGGTCTCGAACTGGGGTGAGTTACTGCTTCCTGACTTCGGTCGAGGGTCTTGAGCGAGTTGAACGAGTTGCTTGTTACAAGCCAACCAAGATTCCTAAATTCATTTACAAAGATATTCTGGTTGAGGTAATTTACATATATCAACAAAAAGTAATATATATATATATTCGGTCTAATTACAGATTTAATCCTTCGGAATTGGAAATCATTTAAGGGAGGCTTGCTTGATCACAGAAAGGAGAGATTGGAACTTATAGATGGTCTACACATAAGTGACAGTGAATTTGCTGTTCCTTGTTTCCAAAAACAGGTAAATAATTTTGTTTTGGATAAATTATGTAGTTAGTCACCCTACTATCACTTTGGTTCTATTTTAGTTATTCAACTAATTTTCTTTTCAAAATCACTGCTAACTTTATGATTTCATTTTATTTGTAAGTACACAAATGGTCTCATGGCTATAAGATGATGCTTTGTTGAGTCACCCAACTATTAAAAGTTACAAAACATTGCCCCGACTATAGGAAGTTGTTTTATTGAGTCCCCTGACTATTAAAAGTTACGAAATAATCACCCGACTATTCATTATTTTTCAAACTTGTAATTTTTCCTTTAAAAATTTAACAATAGCTTGAACTGTACGTTATCCTGCTGACTGAAATATGATAAAACCTGATCTCATAATCTTAAAAGAATATCATATTTCAATCAACATGTTAACGTCCAGTTCAGACTGTTGTAAATTTTTAACAGAAGGGACAAGTTTAAAATATAATGAATAGTCGGGTGACCATTTTGTAACTTTTAATAGTCGAGGGACTCAACAAAGCAACTCTCTATAGTCGATCATTTTATAACTTTTAATAGTAATGAGACTCAACAAAACAATATTCTATAGTCGATGAATCATTTAAATATTTTACCTTATTTTTTCAAAATCATCACTAACGTTAGTTCGTTTTGATTTAACTTTTAGAAAAAAAATAAATGGATGGTGAAAATAAAAAAAATACAAATATAAGTGAAATACTAAAAAAATAATTTAACTTAAAAATAATAAATGAAATTATCAGCCACGGGTTATAAAATAATACTTTTATTAAAAATAATATCTTGAAAATTTAAACATATTACATCATAAATACTACTTGATATCTTAGGTTGACGAATATATTAAATGAATAATACATAAAGTCAACAGGAAAGTAGGCCAAAAAAGTCAATATAAAAATTAATCAACTCTTTGAACATATTAATTTATTATTTGTTTATTTACAATAAAATTAGTCAACAGAATTCGTAAAAAATATATTAAAATTCTTAAATATATTAAAATTCATATTTATATATATTATATGAACAATAATATTATTTAATTTAATTGTTGCAAATATTTAATTTAATACTATTTGATGTTAAATTGCATAAATTGTTGCAGAGAATACATCTTCTGTGGGGAGAATATGACAGGCTCTTCAACTTGGACACGGCCCGAAATATAAAACAGTGAGTCCACCTTATTTCTTCGGGTAAACTTCATATTACATATTCTATAGATTCGATCCGTTTTAGTATTTAAACTTTTAATTTTTTTAAAATTTAACATTAAATTTTGAATGGGGTATTCAAATGAAACAAAAACTAAAGCTTTTAACGGCTGGATACTAAAATGAAACAAAAACTAAATTTTAGGTATGATTTAAAAAAATTGAAAGTTTAGGTACTAAAACATACTAAAATTGATAGTTTAGGTATTAAACAAGAAGATATTCATTGAAAAAAAAAACAAGGGTTAGCCCCTTTTGTTTAAGTCCCTAACATGCCTGAGAGATTAAAATCGAACGGGAGTTAATGACCGAGGGACTAAAATCGAACGGATCGATAACGTTAGGGACGATTCCCTCTTAATTTTTAAATTGGTGACCAAAGTCGGTCAGACCAAAAACACAGGGGACTATCTGCATAGTTCACCCTATAAATTAATATTAAACACACAATTTGTTGATTAAATAACATACATTTGTGACAGGCAAATAGGAGAGAAGGCAAGTTTAGAATGGATAGAGAAAGGGGCATGAAGTGTACATGGAGCGGCCGTCCGAATTCAACCGCCGCCTGAAGAATATTCTTGCTTCCTTTTCGTCTCATCGGAAGGATGTATAAACCATGAGTCACGACGGTCCATGAATTTGTTCTTGTGCGTTATGAAATAGTTATTGACAATTTTACTAAAAAATATGTATAATTAGTGTCTACTTTGATGGTGTGGTATTGTTTATTGAACTCATTTACAATTTTTGATGATTTTTATCATGATTGAGTATATTGTCAATAGGTTTAAAATAATTTATAATTTTTCAACTGTATGATCATAATGCACGGTTTAATTTATCTCTATAATCAATACTTTTATCGAGTGATCGAAGGTAATATTCATACATTTACATCATCTTATCACTTGAACCAATTCATATTGTTTATCAACGGCTAGTGGAAGGACACTGAAACGAGCCAAACCAAACGGGAGCGTCCATGAGATCTTTGCCATGGCGTCAACAACTTTATTTCCTTCTCGTGGTATGTATGATAAGCGGATTTGCTAGCATCTCGAAAGAGTATAACTTAATGATACCGTTATTTGTTAATGAATAATTGTATATGAAGACTGTTCAAATATGTATTTACTTATTTATTTATACATGCATTGCATTTTATCTTTATTTTTAATTTTCTGACTGCCGGAGGTCTTCCACGGAAGCTGCTCTCAACCATGCGTTGGGGACAACCTACTACCCTACCTCCCCCTTACCCCATTGCATATGATAATAGGGTTTTGTTGTTGTTGTTGTTAACCCTTTCTCACGTATAATTGTATCATATATTATATATGATTTACAATTCAGCAAATTCGTTTTGGATCATTTATTCATAATCGTTTCTAACTATTGTTAATGTATGCACAGTTGCTCGAACTTAAGACCTCAAAATAGAACAACACTCCTTCAATCGATGAGATCACTCGATTAAATGATCATTAATTATTTTTTTAATTATATGTTATTAATTAAAAATTTTATTGAGCTCGTCGAAGATACACTTCTCCACGATGATATTGCCATCCAAATTAATAATATTTTCTCATTCCCTCCGGCAGTCATGCTTTGATTTAATTTGATTAGCAGCTTGGCTTTGAAAAGGCTTGGATATTAAGTCATTATTAATTAATCAAACCGTGTCTAAATCATGGTTAACGAGGAGTTCTAAACAATTGAACATGAAGCTCCATCACTCGTACATATATACTTATACCATGCTCTTTCATATGAGGGAAAATGAGCTTGTTGAAGATATACAAGTTCTTCTTGCATGGGCTGTTGAGGCTCGTAGGGTTAAGCCCCAGGAAGATAGAGATCGAACCCGGCACCGTCGTGAACGTTTGGGGTCCGAACAAACCCTCCAAAAAGCCTGCCCTAGTCTTCATCCATGGCTTCGGCTTGGACGGTATGCTGACGTGGCAGTTCCAAGTCTTTGCTTTCGCCAGAGACTACTCCGTTTTTGTCCCGGATTTGGTCTTCTTCGGCGGTTCCGTCACCGACAAGGCGGAGAGGTCGGCGGCGTTTCAAGCCGAGTGCATGGCCAAGGCATTGAGAAAGTTGGGTGTTGACAAGTGTACGGTGGTGGGATTGAGCTATGGAGGGATAGTGAGCTTCAAGATGGCCGAGTTGTACCCTGAGTTGGTCCAGTCCATGGTGGTGAGCGGCTCGGTCATGGCGGTGACTCAGTCGATCCACGACGCCGGACTCGAGCGCCTCGGAATCTCTAGCTGGCATGATTTTCTGCTTCCTGTCTCGGCCGAGGGCCTTGAGAGCGTTACTCAAGCTACTTGTTACAAGCCATCAAAATTGCCTAAATTCGTTTACAAAGATATTCTGGTTGAGGAAATATATATCTGGTCTAATTATGAATTTAATCCTTCATAATTTGTTTGATTGTGTTTATGTATAACGTACGTAATAATTTAATATAGGCAAAAATACATCAGAGGTACATGTAATTTTTTTAAACAAAATAATGTGAACATTGTATTATTTTCTCTCTCAATATGGTCCTCCAACTCAAAAAATAAACCCCATGTGGCCCTTTGACCAACATTTTTCATCGTTGACCATTACGGTGTTAACATGACAATTCACGATGTTGACATGACAGTCCATGATGCTGACGTGGTAGTCTATAGTGGTTGATAACGTGACGGATGACGTGACAGATGAGTTAAATTGGTAACTCAAATATGACATATGAACTACCATATCAACACCATGGACCACCAGGTCAGTACCGTGAAATGTCACGTCATGACCGTAACATTCAACAATGGAAAACGTTCGTCAAAAGGACCATATTGAGTTTGTTTTCTAAGTTGGAGGGTAACATTGATTTTTCTCAAAAGTGCAAGGACCTCTAATGCTTTTTTGACTATTGTATTTTCGCATAAATTTAATTCTTAAAGTTGTTCAATTGCATTATTTTATACCCTATGCATACCTTAAAACTCTAAATTATAAACGTACGTTTAGGATTCAAGATTTAAGGTTTATGGTTTAAAGGTTATGATGGTATGATTTAGGGTTTAAGATTCATAATTTAAGTTTTAAATTTGAAGTAGGGTATAAAATAATACAATTGAGCAATTTATACTTTAAATTTACTACAGAAACAAAAATTACCATTTTACTTTATTTAATTAAATAAAATTAAATAAAAAGGTCTAAAATTTAATAAACAACCGTAAATAAATAAAAATATATTTGATTCTTTTATATTCGCGAATAAACTTTTTTGTAAACATGTTTACTAACACACAACACATTTATAAGTCCATTTATCCAATTATTTTACATTTTGAATATTGATGAAAACAAGAAATAAATTAACACAAGATGAATTTAGAGTTTAAATTATAAAGCCTAAGGACCTTAAGGACTAATGGTGTAGTTTCACAATTTACTGAACATATAAATAATGATGTTCACTAAGCTAGAAGCCAAAACAAGGCAAGATAAATCTGAAGAAAAATGTATCAATTAAACCATAACAATATAAAGGAACTGTAGCTCACACATTATAGGAAAAACGAAATTAATTCATAGCAGTCAAGCTAAGGAAATGGAAATGATACAGAGAACTAAATAAGCAAAATTATAACCGAACGTCTAGGTGTTTGTTGCCCTAGTGTAAATCTGCTGGCTTGAATGAGAAGACACCAACCGAATCAACCCTTTCGACATTAATTCCCGAATGGCCTTCCTTGCGAGAGATCCGTTAATCTGCGAGGCATATGTTTGTGTGTATATCACTTTAAACTTGGTTAAATCGCATTGCATTCGCACAATTTACAGTGAATACGATACAAATTCTAGTGAAGTCCGATATAAATTCACTGGGAAAATAATCAAAAACACCTGGATAAATCCCTTCAAAAGAACCCCTACAATCAACAAATGCACATATGCATACATTAATCAGACAATAAGAAGCTTACAAAATCTTCCCCTATTTGTGTGTAAATCACTTTAAATTAGGTTAAACCGCATTGCATCGGCGCAATTCACAGCGAATACGATACAAATGCTAGTGAAGTTCAATATAAATCCACCGGAAAAATAACCAAATACAAAAGGATAAGTCCCTTAAAAACCCCTATAATCCAGTACCCAAAAAGGGTACCCAAAATCAACCATCCATAGATCTCTACCTCCAGACAACTTACAACACATATATAATCAAACCAAAACCTCATGTAATTACAAATGCAACACATCAAGCATAAAACTACATATAATCAAAATGTAAAACAGAACCATACATAACCAAATCAAACGTTAAAGCATAAAAAAGGGAAATGAAAATGTACCCTTAAACGGTCAGACAAAATAGAGGGAGTGATGAGCTTGTATTTAGGAGCCTCCGAGAGAAGCTTATCATAAGTAGCCTGGTCAAACAGCACCATGTTGTTCACCTTCTCCTTTTGCTTTCCCTTGCTCCACTTCTGTTAATACATGCAAAGAGAAAGAAGAGATAAAAACCCATTTCTTATATAATCTAAAACACATTAAAATCGAGACCATTGAAGAAACCGAACTTCTTCTTCTGCTTTCCACCTCCAGATTTTGCAGGCTTAGAGGAGGGAGGAGGGGCCTTGTCTTTCTTCGGTGCCTAAAAAAAAGGAACACAAATTTACGGTTTGGATTGAATGAATACGAGAAGAAGATGATCAGAGAAAACGTACCATCCGATCTGCTCAAGCCTCGAAGCGTAGAGAAAATGGGATCAACGGAGGCGCGGTTTTAGGGTTTGGGAGTTATGTGTGTGATTGGAGCTTTTAATGATGGAGAGTTGGTCGCTGTTGCCCTAGATATGAGTACTGCGTCGTTTCGTTTTCAGTTTTCCTTGAACCCAGTTTCAGTTTTGGGCCTATGTTAGAAAATATTTTTGGCAAAATTGACCCAATACCGCAGACGAGCTAATACGACATAAAATAAATTATTTAGAGACCTATGATATTTGTTATATTGACTTAGAATTCGTCGAGTTGATGTGATGAGTTTTAATAAAAATATATTTTTTATTTAAAATTTTCACTCCGATGTGATAAATTCTAATAAAAATTTTATATTTTATTGAAACTAGTCATGTTGACGTGATGACTTTGAGTAAAAAATATTATTTGGATAAACTGATCATGTGGGTGTGACGAGTTTCTCATGTACTAAAGCAAATGTTTGTTACAAACTACGTATTTAGTACCTAAACTTTTAGTTTTACCCCATTTTAGTAGCTAAATTTTTATTTTTCAAAATCATACATAACATTTAGTTTTTATTTCATTTTAGTACCCCGTCGCATTTAGTACCTAAACTATTTTTTCAAAACTTAACGTTAAAATTTGAACATGATACTAAAATGAAAGAAAAACTAAAATTTCTAACGACGAAATACTAAAATGAACCAAAAACTAAACTTTTAGTGTGATTTTGAAAAAATGAAAGTTTAAGTACTAAAATTGATTAAAACTAATAGTTTATATACTAAATGCATAATTTACCTAAAATTTATTTAATAAATTATCTCTGTCTCTTTTGTTTTACTATCATTTACATTTATCGTTATCTATATACCCTATAACAGATTCATTATTATTATATTCAAATCTTAAATGATAATTCTAATTACTCATTTTGTCATGGTTTTATTATCACATGTTGACTTTTTACTATGGCAATTTACTCTTTGAGAAGTTGAATTTAATTTTTATGTGAATTTTAGTACTAGCCGTTAAAAATAATTTTTGCACGTGACATTTTTATAGGTAAATTATATCATTCATCACTTAATTATTTTCTCACTCCTATTTTGGTCATGGAGGTTTAAAATTTTTTAGTTTAAATACTCAACTTTCAAATCGTTCATGTGTTAATCACTCTAATTTATTTATTAATAATATTTTATGACATGATATTTTTTATTATTTTATTAATATATATTTAAAAAAATAATTTTGAAAGTTAGAGTGATTAAATTAGGAGTAATTTGAAAGTTAAGGAATTAAATTTTAAAAATAAACTTCAATGACCGAAATAGGAGTGAGAAGATAGTTGAGTGATGAATGATATAATTTACCTATAAAAAGTGTTAAGTTGTAACCATTATGCTAAGTATTTAACGGTGGATACTAAAATGAAACAAAAAACTAAACATTATGTATGATTTTAAAAAAATTGAAAGTTTAGGTATTAAAATGGCCAAAACTAATAGTTTAGGTATTAAATGCGTAATTTACCCAAAAATTGATTGAACTAAAGGTGATTATAAAGTAGTATTTTTTCTTCTATATACTCTCGACCATTTGACACTGAATGCTCAACTCCTGTTGTAATCGCTGGTGTTCAACCCCATGCCATTTAGGAATAACAATCATTCATTTAACCATTGAGATAAATTAATTAAAATATGATGTTAGATTAGTATCATTATCAATATAACATAAATGGCAACATTTTTTTTTATTAATATGAGGTAAGTACATGACAGTATCTGTTCAAAGATAATTAAATCAATGTTTTCATTTTTTAGTTTTAAAAATACAATAAAAAATAGTGGTGGAACCAAAAACCAATTGTCTTAGTGGGATAAGACATTAGATCCCTTAAGCAAGGTCATGGGTTCGAATCTTGACGATTGTGAATGGAGCAAACTGGGTTGAGAGGGTCACCCTTACCTCCGTAGTACCCGATCCTAATTAATTAATCAATAGATCAAATACCAATGGTTATAAAAAATAAATGAGAACATATGATCAAACATATTAAGTGCTTAAAATTCTATTATTTAAAGTGAAAAGGAATCTTAATAAACTAAGTATTGTATCAAAACATAGTTCCCAAATAAAAGGGAATCAAATTGTAAAAAGGGAAAAATAGTGGGATTCCAACTCAATAATCCAAGGAATCCAACGTATGTGTGATATGAGTGCTGACATGTAACATAACCAAAGGCATAATTATCAAAAGAATAATAATCTCATCAGCCCATTCTTGCTCCTACTTCAATTGTTCCATCACTATTGTTTTTGGTATAACCATTTGGATCTAATCTATCGATCAACTAATTTGGATCGGATATTGCGAAAGCAAAGGCAATGGCAATGGCGATCCTCTCAACTCAGTTTATTCCATTAATAATCGCTAGGATTTTAACCCCTGGCCTTACTTTAGGGAACTAGTGCCCATTAAATTAATTGATTGTTGGTTCCATCACTATTTTTTATTGTATTTTTAAAACTGAAAAAAAACATCGGTTTAATTATCCCCACAGTTGTTATAATCTTCAATTTTTTATGAATTTAGGGTAAATTACATGTTTAGTACCTATATTATAAGTTTTGGTTCATTTTAATACCTAAACTTTAATTTTTTTTTTA